GGTTAAGACGTGTTCTAAAAATTGAAAAGTATCAGCCAATAGCAACATCATCCCAAAACAAGATAGCACACCTCCGAGTATGAGGATTGGTTCCATTAGGTTCTTAGAATTGTTCTCTTGTTAAGGTAAATTCTTATAGGAGAAGAGTCGAGTTCCTTGACTTGAGAACTTCTTGGAAATTCCTTAACTACATTTTCTTAAAAAAAAAAAAAAAAAAATGCAATAGACACTTTTAGAACCCATTAATGATTACCTTAAGCTTCTACAACCCACACAAACACTCTCAATCCTTTTAAAACCCTCAATAATGCTGGGATGATGCACAAAAATAAGGATAACATAGCAAAGCCTCAGTCAGTGAGGGGTAGCACTGCAGTTTACAAACAAAAGCTAGTGTTTTCATCTAGCTGAAGCATTCAGTTTTAAATCACAAATCAACATCCAGTGACTTTTGTGTTGTGTTGAAGATCCATGCATACAATCAATAGATTGTATTAAATCTAACCATATCTATTAAAAAGCACCTAATGTTCTCAATAATTCAGTGAAAATTAGTGGGATTTTATGTCCAATAGTTATTACAAACTCCTATTAAGAAGCAATAACTTAAATAAAAACAATAAATATGATGACCATCAATATCCTCTTGACCAGTGAATAGAAGAGTGAGGCCACAACAAGATGGGCTGTCTTCCTAACCCAGACAAAACTGTAAGTGGTCTTTATCACTGCTACATTTAGCTGCAAAAGTAATTGACCAATAAAAGGGCTCCAACACCTGAATCATGTAGTTAGTGTAGCCTTCAGTAATTGACCAATAAAAGGACTCCACCACCTGACTCATGTGGTCAGTTTATTCATTAATGTCACCTTTACCAAAGATTTCCATTATAAATATCTTATACACAAAACATTGCATACTGTAGCCTTTGACACAAAATATACAGAATTACATAGACATACGGAATAAGAGACCCCTACAGTGTGAGGTAACATGTTAATGGTTATGCACACAGCCACACACAGTCGCGAGTCTCACATACGTATCCACTCACGTACACAGGAGTCACAGTCAAGCAGGGGCAGATCCAGGGAGTCCACCCACCCCCTCTTTTCATGAGAAAATTCCAAAACTTTTTCTTTATTGCTGTATTGTACTCAGGCCCCTTTGTATAGCAGAAAACAATTACTATTGACCTCAGAACATCTTCTAATATCAAGTGCACATCCTTAGAATTGCCTCAAAATGCCCATGATATTGGTCAAATTTAAAAAAAAATTCTGGGAGGGGGGCTAACAGCACTATCCTCCCCCCCCCCAAAAAAAAAAACAGCTGGGTGGGTTCACTGTGCTCGCCATGTTCCCCCATCCATTAGTTCTTGGACCCCCCTCTTCTGATAATCCTGGATCTTCCCCTGTCAAGTGCCTGGTCATCAGTTATGCTTTCATTTACTCTTTCTGCAGCTCAACCCTTTATGATCAGTAGTTTATGAAAGGTTGGAGTAGATAAAGGTACAGAAGTATCAGGGATTGGAAGAGAATAGATGATAAACAAATGAGAGGAACACAATACAGTTGTACCCCGCTTTACGCGGTTTCACTTAACGCGATTTCTCGTATATGCGGTGCCTCGCCAGAACCGAACTTTCACTTAACGCGGTTCATCTACCCATATATGCGCAGAGTGTCTGGCTCGAGACGCTATTTTTAGATTCGCCCCACCCGCTGCTCCCGCCTGCCTCGCCTCTCCCTCCTCCTCCCTCCCTCCCGCCTCCCTCCGCCTGGGCAAGCCGCGCTGTAAGGTTGCGCAGTGTGTGTGTCTTCTACTAACGAGAAGTGTTACACCTAACTTTTAGTTTTCCTAACCTAACCTTTACTTTTCCTAACTTAACCTCTATTTTTCCTAACCTAACCTCTTCTATATTACTTGTTTGTTCATACCATCATAAAGTTAAGATAAAATTTTTACTACAACATAGTTGTGTCGTCAAAAAGTGGAGTTTGGGGGTCGGGCCGGTCTCTATTGGAATTAATCCCATATGTTCTGTTGTTCCATTTACGCGGATTTCACTTAACGCGGTACGCTGTGGGTTCAATTGACCGCATAAATCTGGGTACAACTGTACTTAAAGAAATTAAAAAAGCCCAGATAGAATTGAAGAAATAGTAAATCAGGTGTAGGTGTGGTACAGGAGTTCCTGCTCATTGTCTTCCCGCTTATTGTTGTTTCATTATTAAGTCACTAAAGAATTAGGGAAGGTGTCTGTCTTGCATCATTATGTTTAGTAATAGATGTTGGCCGTCATCTACTACCGCAGACGCTTTGTTTTGCACAGAACCACAGATGCTCGAAGGATTAAAGAAGCATTCCTGTTTCAGTTAATATGTATATGTTTGTACTTCACAGATATGTGTAGGATATTTTGCTTTTTGGTTAATCTACCCCAACATTATGCCTACAAAATACCTAGCAGGTGACAGTGCAGTACTTGACACAAAAGAAAAAAAAAGAAAAAAGGATAACAAGCATTGGGTGTTTTTCAAGTGGAGAAACATCAGAACCAGGAGAACCAGCAGACCCATCACAAGGACACTGGCAGAAGAGAGACAGCATCATCATCAGACACAGAGGAAGAGGGTCAACACTCTTCCTCCTTCTGACTCCAGCAGTCAGCACACTTACTCTACTCATTGTACCTCCTCAAGGAACCTTCAACCTCCTCATTCTTGAGTACAGGTAGTTCTGCTATAACGCGATAATTGTGTTCTTGTAAAATATCGTGTTATAGAAAATCGCGTAATAGAAATAACAGGGCTTATGAGGAAATAGGGTTAGGTGCAGATTACTCGAAATCGAAAAAATTTAGTAGTTCGCCTAACACAAAGGATAGCACAGTCTAAATAAATGTTACATTCATATCTAATAATGAAATCATACAGTAAATGTAATACTTTACCTTGAAAAATTATGAATGTAACTTGATGGGGGAGAAGGGTGATTTTGAGGTTGATAACATCGAGCTTCTCTTCAAGTGTTATATCCTTTCTTTTACGATCATCACCGGGAATTCTATCACCAGAACGCTTCTTGGAGATATTCTTCTTTACCATATTCACAGTTAATACCACAAAATTGGAGAAATAGTAAGCAAAAATCGCGTTATAGCAAACAAGCGTTCGCGTTATACAAATATCGTTCCTAATTCATAAATCGCGTTAGAGCAAATTCGCGTTATCAAAACACGCGTTATAGCAGAACTCACTGTATCAAATTGACCTTTAGTTTGGCACATCTTTTATCAAATGAAATAATATTCTCAGCAAGATAACCCCCTAATTACATTATTTCTTACAGCAAAAATAGACTGGTTTATTGTAGCTTCTATTAAAGTTGCACTTTTCATGAACACATACTGTATACCATGTAAAATTGCCCCCCTCCCCCCTTATTTTTTTTTAGCAGAGCTCAGAAGACTCACTATGACACAGTCCTGAGAGTAGAGTAACCTATCACACTCCTAGACAACACAAGCTTGTCCTTTTATGTTGGATGACCAGTTGTGACAAACCTCACTGATATGAGTTGCAACAGGGATAAACAATTAAGTCTGTGTGAGGTAATAGCTTAATGAATTAATAATAATAAAAAAAATCCAACTTCCAGAAGAAAAAAGTTCTGAATCTAATCTATCCCTAAAGTTGTCCCTCCAAGGTGTTACATCCAGTGAAAATGTCTACAAGTGAACCCTAAGTGTGATAGACTTGACAATTAAAACACTTTTATTGGAGGCAATAACTCGATCTTGTTGCTTTGGTTCACACACGAACACACATTGTTATGGTATTTAGATACCTAGTTTAACTATGATTGACTGGATTTCCTCCGGGTTAATTCCTTAAACCGATGAAAACCTTCATTTTCATCAAACTAATCAAACCCCTTCCAACCACACAACAACCCCCTGAAGGACATTTCTGCACTCCACGGTGGACCCCAGAAAAGTATACAGTACAGTACCTACTTACTAAATAGCAAATCTTATCAGTCAACCTATAGTGCACAGCAAATGTAAGAACATAAAAAGGACGACCCTCTTGAAATTTTATCCAAGCTTCAATTATTTATCCTAAAATATCTCCGAGTTATCATCCAATATGAGAAACAAACAGGAAAACATACATACACAAATACTGTGACTGGTAGACATAAGTATTAACAACAATAATAATAATATAAGGTATCACCTAACAACAACACACTCAAGAGGGCACCACCTGCCTGATGCAGAAATATTCATTGCTTATTGCAACTTTGACCTTTGACCTACATTATACAAACTTGTATCACAGGTCCTTCTCTGGCCCTTGCAATGTCAAACAAGTTTGGTCTAAAGTAGTTCAAAAATTTATAAATTTGTTACAGAAAAATAAAGGGACAACAGGATAAATGCAACACAACACACCCACACCCAGAGAAGAAGAAGAAGAAGAAGAAGCATGTACTGTACAAATTATATAGGATTCATGAGATGTCTCTGTAGGATTTTCGGTTAGAAACATAAAATTCACTTTAATTTTATAAATACAAAGACAATGACAAGTTTGTTGCCCATAATTTAGAGTGAGACATAGCATGAACCACTACATTATCAATACCGTGGCTTGTGACACATACAAAAAGGGTAGTAAGATATACAGTAGTACAAAATACAATACTGTATTATGCATTAATACAATGCAACATTAAGTACTATTAATACCACAAATTGCACACACACACACACACACACACAAGCACGCACACACACACACATGCGTAGGCACGCACACACACACGCGCGCGCACACACACACACACGCGCGCACACACACACACACGTGTGCACACACACACACACACGTGTGCACACACACACACACACACACACACAAGGTTAAGCAAAGAATTTAAACTGTTAATCATATAATTCTATACAATTTTCATTGTCATCTGTACTCACCTAAACCACCAGCCACCTGTTTGGCAGAGACGAGGTTGTCCAAATTAACGAGGTTGGAATTCTCCCCTAAAAAGGCCGCTGGAGACTTAGACTTTGGTGGTGGAGCTCTGCTGTGATCAGGCATAGCTGAACTGAGCCCACTTAGCTCAAAAGCATCTGATACACCATCTGCCAAAAATTATCCAAGTGAAGAAACACACACTTCCCCTTCTGTCGTCTAGTGATATCAATCATCACAGTCCTGCCCAAGAACTTGATGTGACAGAATTAATCATATGGAAAAATTCCTCTGGTAACACATTCAATAAGAGTCAAGAATATTAGTAATGCCTAAGCAAGTGTATACCGAGGATACACAAACACAGAGTATGGGGTCAATAAATTATAGGAGGCATCAAAGAACAACTGAATTTTCATATTCTCCCAGAGGAAAACATCCCTTAACTGTATTAAATGTGTACAGACAAACATACATTTAGTAAAACTAATGAGCTGTGATGTATGAATCAATAAATTAATTCTGAAAGTTTGGAAAGGCAGCAACCTAACAGCAATGGTCAAATACAGACTAATGTGAAACCCACACTCAATCTGACCTGCATACTTCAACAGGTGACCGGTACTGCAACACGACAATGCTGACCAAAATTCAAAATACTCAAACAAGGAAATCTCCCAAAATCTACTTCAGAAGAGCAATAATTTAAATACAGTACATTAAAACATGAACAGTGAATATAATATCAAAGAGACAAGACAGTTGTCTCAGTAACCATTCCAAATATATTATACACAGCCAATGCTAAGGGACTATAAGTCATGCACTTAGACTGTAGGCCAACTAATAAAGGCATTATAGTGTTGAACAACATATATCCTTCAAACTGACCCATATGCACAACTGACAGATACCTTCCTAAATAAGCACAACCTGACAAGCAGCAAAATACAGAGTGGACACAGTACAAAACCTTGTTTATAACTGAATGAATTGACAATGCATAATTTATCTCAAAGCTTCAGCACTGTTTTTAAAGCCTCACTGGCTCTTAAAGGCTAGATGTTTGATGCACGAATTCAACCTTGGTTTTGCTGAGAAAGGAGCTCCTTTGCAGCACCATGCATTATGTACTTAAATAACATATCCTGTAACTAAACATGTCAAGAGCCCTGCTGGGTAATGGATGACTCAGGGAGAGGTGTAGTGATATGGAACACACTTAACACTCGCTGATCACCAGTAGACTATAGCCAGAAAAATATATAAATACAATATCTCCAGTTCCAAACTTTTATGAAAAAGTATTTTTAAGAATAAAAAAAATGAGGTAAACATTTATTAAGAAAATTAGTTACTGTACTGATTACAGAACCTATATAAAAATGAGAAAGTCCATTAAAACTAATATGAATTCTAGTCTTTACAGAATAACAAAAGCTTCTAAAACTCACTATTTGCTGGTTTCTCCCTCGTTGACAATGCTGAAAACTCATCCTCGTCTCCATTGTTGGTCGGGGAAATTGGTGCAAAAGGATCTTTAGTTGGGGGTTTTGCAGGAACAGGGTCCCAAGGGTCATTGGTGCCGACGGGAGGAGTAACACTCTTGGCTGGTGGTGGGGCACCAAGGACTGCCCAAGGATCATTACCACAAATACCTGCAGAACAAACAATATTATACTATTAGAGAACCTATCAAGCTCTCTGATCAACACATATCAAAACATTAAGGCAAGTACCATAGTAGATCTGTTACTGTAAGGTTACCAAACTAACAGCGATCTCATGAATTCACAGTGTGATTTTCTTTGTGCTGTTAAGTGACGCACAACTATATGGTAATCTGTTTACAAATCTCCCTCCCAACTACTCATCCAACCTGGGCCACGGGTCAAAGGAAGAACTGGACATGGTGTTCAAGGTCCATATGCTTTGTCAGCTCATCAATGCCAACATTGTAAATGATAGGCTAACTTTGATGACTTATGGAAGGACTACAATACCCCAAAGGTCTTTAACAATATTGGTGCTGCCTGGTGAGAGATGATGAATGGTGTTTGGGGGAAGCTGTGGCCTGAACCAGTCAATCAGTAACCTTAGTAATTTCAAGGATGCTGTCCCATCTATGCAATAGGCTTCTTTGGATTTGGATATAAAGTACATGTTGGCTTTGGTGAGTGAACATGATTTTTTTTTTCATACTGTAAACAAACAGCCAGCAGCGATTCAAGTTTACACAGAAGTTTATGGGTTATAGGTACTGTATGTGTGTGTGTACTATGTATGACAATCACACATGTCTGGGACTGTCATTTCATGCATCATTGACCAATGACCAATAACATCCTTCCATCAGCCACCTTATATGGTTGTTATTATTCCCTCTCAAACAGTATAAAAAGGAAATTTTTAATTAAAATATTGTAGTGTATAAGTTAAAAGTTCTGCTCATTATTTTAAAAATATATAAAAAAGGACCAGGTGTAACTTAACAAATAACTGGTAACTAGGATGTGCACTGTTGATGGTGTAGGCAGACACAGGTACAGTAGGTATTTCATTTGAAAATTTGCTCACTAAATTACACACGATTTTGTTAACAGAATTTTTATTTCCTAAAATACCAAATTTGTTAAAATAGATTTTCATTTATTGTTAACTCATTAAAATGGAACTTACCATACACAATTCCAATAATAATTCAGAAAACTACCTTGGTATATCCAACCATATTTATCTCATTCTCAACCCCAATGCTTGCTGACCCTGAATAATCTATTTTGTGTGTCTTGTTTTAACAAGTCAAGTATCTGTCAACCCAAAATCTACTTTAAGAAATACAGTAATCTATTTCACAAAAAAAATGAGCATTATAAACAAGAAATATAAGAATACAGAAAACTATCCTTTTACTGTACTGTATATGCCGGGTATGCAGTATTTCCTCGATTTAACGAACTAATTCGAGTCGCCCCTTTTGTAAAATCAAAATTTCCTTTATTTTTGCTTGATTTAGTGAACTAGTTCGCTAAATCAAGCGTGATTCCATTAAATTCTGCCCCAAATGCACCCCTTGGTGCCTGAGGTTTGTTTACATCCGCTCAGTCTGTGTCCTGCGGCCACAGCGTGTGTTGTTTACTGCTACCTCTCGGTCCACATCTCAGTCAAATAACTACTGTGCTTAGACATCATGCCAAAAGTCTTTCAGAAGTCTCTCAGAGAGGATGTGGTGAGGGGGAGAGTCAAATTGGAAAAAAGTTTGGAAATTATAAAAGAAACACCGAACCCCCTAGTTTAAGGTAAGCCATGAATAATGTTTCTATGTGAATATCATGTGTCTGAGGTGTCTCTATAGGTGTGAGCGTATTAACAGAATTAATCTCGATTTAGCAAACTAGTTCACTAAATTGAGTGAAAAATAATGAAAAAAATTTCTTCCATTAAATCAAGAGTGCGTTATACATTATCAGATTCCGTTAAATTGAGAGGACCTGTATATTGTTTAAGGAAAAATTGGACAATCTGACAACTGGCTCAGTGACTGTGTGTGTGGTGGTGTGAGTGACGAGTCTGCTTGTCTTCACGTGAGTTTGAGGAGTAAGTTATATGGTGATTGTAAGAGAATGACGACACATTAAAGGCTTAGTTGTAGACGTGGCAGTGTTTAGAGAATAAAAAAGAAAGAAAATTAACATACACCGTTAATCATCTTGACGACACATAAAGTACCATACCTCACTGCACTTTGTCAAAGACACGTAATCAACCGAATTTGGGTGTATTAAAAGTTCAAGTTCAAGTTATTTAATTCATTTACTGTACACTATATATTGATCCATATCAGTGGACATGACATTACCAAGAGATCAACTTGACGCCTCCGTTTGGTCTCTGTTTTCTGTGCCTCCTTATTTATTCTTACATTTTCCTCCATCTACTAGAGTAAACTTCATGGTCACTGTTTTCTGGTGCAAAACCATAAATAAAATTTCACAAAGTTCAATATAATTTTCCCAGTACAGTATCACAAACATTCATATAACAACATTTAAACACTATTATTAAGACAGTTGTCAAGAGCAAACAATTAAAATTTCTAAAATTGTGATTTCTCTCCCACTTTTGTGTGGGGTGGACAAATGGGTGGAGAAACCTCGAAAGAGAAAGAAAGAAAGAAAGAAAGAAAGAAAGAAAGAAAGAAGTAGGCAATGGTACAAGGCATGACAAGTGCAGCAAGTGAGAGGAAAGGACTAATATAACTCATCAGGGCAGAAATACCAACCTCCCATTGGTGGTTCAGGTGATCTGGGAGGAGGAGGACCCCAGGGATCACTTGTGGTTGGTGGAGACGTGACACGTGAAGGAGGACCTGAAGCTGGAGAGCCCCAGGGGTCAGTCTGTGGGGAACAATGCTGGTGAAATAAGTACAGCACAACAACAATATAAACAGGTATAAGTGGCAAGGATTACATGATGGTTACATTTATAGATAACATAAATAAATAAAACAAATATTTTCCTATATGCCAGAAATAGCTTATGATCAAGGAGAAAATAATAAATAAATCTGAGCGCATACCTTTCCAGCTGTATCCCGAAGCTCTGACCGTTTTATACCATTTAACGTGTTATTTGTGTTGTAATGTTTGACCCACACAGAAAACTTACACTAAAACCTCCGTAATTCAGAACAACGTGGATTCTAACCTGGCCATAATAAATCATGGACTGTACAATATCACTGATGAAGGTGATACACAACACACTGTAGCCGTGTACTCTACATAGTGATACTCTCTCTGTGTACGGTAAAGTATTAGTGTTCAAAACAATGATTTAGTTCAACAGGCGAGGAAAGTTTAGACGAGGTTTCCAGGTTTTTTTTGTTGCATCATAACAATCGTCTTTGTGGAATATATTAGTGATTAACAACAACAACAATGTAGTTCAGCCAATAAGGTTGGTTAGGTTAGGTTTAAAGGAAATGTACATATAAATTACATATATTGTAGTAATATGTTTAATTTTCCTTAATTTCATTCCTTATTTATGGAATTTAGAGCTTTAATAGAATAAAACCAATTTATTACGTTCTTCATTTTACAAGAGAAGGGGTGGGGGGGATTGCAGGCTCAGATATCAGTACATGTAGTTGCAAGCATGATGATTTACAAACAAAGTCAATGAACTGATATGAGAGTCACCACTGTTTTGGTCAGACCATAAGTTATGTAGTTGGCAGCAGCTAACATAATCTTTTTCAATATTTAACAACTGTCATGTAAAGTCATAGTGATTTTGTTCAATTTCCTTTTTTAGAAGACTCCACAGTACAGTACATATGTGGCTCCTAGGTGAAAAATATATACTACCTAAAAATGAGCCAACAGTTAAGCTTTTATACAGTTTCTAATGACTAAAGGACCACAACATTGAACCATTATTAAGGATGACACGAGCCCACCAAACCTAACCGAATTTACCTAATCTTGGTTAAGTTGGTTAGGCAGAGTTTGGTTGGCTTAGTTATACACTAAAAATTGCATCCTAGTTGTACAGTACTGTACCTGGAAATCAGGCGAGTGATCAGGTTTCCAAAATATTTGTAAATCATGAACAAATTTAATGACAGTTTAAGAATAGAAATGCATTAAATTAAAGAAAACAGTATTATTGTACCAGCATATGGGAAAAAATAAAATACATCAGAGCCGATACTAAATGTTGAAAGAACACATTATACAGGTATCTCTCGATATATGAATGGGTTAGGTAAAAAAAAATTCTTTAGGTGAATCTATTTACTATCACGAATAGATAAACATACGGGAAAAAGGGGGTTCGGTTCCCCAATAACAAAAATACCCACACACGAAATTGGTTCACAAACAAGAACAACACCTACCTAACTATTAACCCTTAGGCCCCGGGTGATGTTCCAGAACGTCTGCCTATTCCCCATGAGGGTAAGAGAAAGCTGCTCCCTCACTCACTCTGTGCTAGCTCCCACACATGTAATAAATGTTTAATCCTTTTATGTTTCTCACCTTATGATAATTATTATTATTGTTTTTGTTTTTTTTGCACATTCTATATGTAGGATAGTGTGTGTGTGTGTGCATGTAACTTGGGGGTAGGAACATGAAGAAAGTTAAGTTTATATACAGTACCCCAAATTACGAGCTGACTAATAACCATAATATAACTCCTACCTCAGCTGGTACGGGAAGCACTAAGGGGATGTGGCCGCTCAAGCTGACTCCCAAGGGAGCACAATTTAAATTTTTGCCTGGACCCAAATTCATAAAAGCGAGAGAAGCTTTCATTTCTCGAAAGAGTAGTGTTAATTTAGGAAATTCGTATAAGCGAATTTTTGTATCGTAAATGTTCGTAACTTGAGGGATACCTGTATCTCATAACTTCAAGATTTTATGATGCTAAGATAAAAAAAAAAGAAAACGGTGATGCTCAATGTTCTCTCTTGGTATCATAACATGTGTTTCTACTGTGTTGCCAGCCTCAATCCTCTCCATCACTTTCATCTTATCACCACTCAACACTTTTTTATTTTCCTCTTAGATTCTCATTTTTTCCCCTGTAGAAGAGCCAGAACCTTCTTTGGAAGACAACACAATAGATTGAGGCTTACAAAACACACAAAATTCAATAAGTTTGTTAAATGATGAATTGTTCATCTGCTCACTAGGATACACCCACACTACCTGATGTATGGTGTCTCGATTAGCTCCTGAGTGAGGGGACGCTATGTGCTGTGCTGCCTAATTCATAGGTTATTTGCTAGGATTTGTAAAAGGTCCAATAAGTTTTGAGATTTGAAAATTCCCAAAATAGCCAATTTTTTATAGAAATTATGAATTATGGAGGTTTCAATGATATTAACCTAATATTATATCCCTCAAAACTAATTCCTTATTCTACATCATTAAGGTAGATACTACACCAATAATATAACTCCAGATATTTCTATACCATTCAACTTTCAATCCATTTCAATCAGTCTGTACACAGCCGAAGTTGAGCAGCTGTCTGATTGTCTGAAGGATTCTCATATGTATTATGAACTGTAAAGTGTAACACAACACCAGGTAGTACCAGGACCCAGCCATCTGCCCATTAATTAATTATGTCAAGCAGTCTTGCCTAATACAAGAATCCAAATATATATGATCTGGGAAACAGTTAGCTGCCAGACATCAAGTCTATTGAGCACAGTAAGTGACTTGAAACTGAAGGTGGTTTGAAACTCTCAGTTCCTAACCTACCAGTGTTTCGATTGTGAAGTACTACATGTACATTACTGCAGAAGCAGGAGTCTTAGATATCAGCCTCTGGCAGCTTGTTCCTTAAAAAGTTTCCACCTTGCTAGGGGTTGTGTTTGAGTCAAGATACACAACCAATCACAAAAATTACAAATACTAGGGATACTGGGGTGGAATACAGTCCCACACACAAAGGTTAGGGGTGCTGAGGTGTAAACATGTTGACTTTAAGTAACCCGGTACAAAATAATAAAACTTCATAAACACTACCTTTACTGGCTGCATTAAGAACCTTTCCACAGCTTCTACACTTTAGACTTAACCCCTAATTATGGCAGAGTGACTGTATCTACCAGTAGTTACATCTTGTTATGAGGAATATTCATCATACAAGCAGTTGGGAATCTGGAACTGGACTCCTGGAAACCACATCAGCTCGTCATAACAGCACCATTCACATTTCTAGCTTCACGGCATAAAGTTGTAGCACAGCTTCTACAAATACTTATAAGTATCGTGTTAGCTGCTGGCAGTAACCCAAAGTTTCCCACAAGTTTAAATGTACTCTCTCTCTCTATCTCTTGCTCTTCAGTACACACTGTATGATGTTCATCCACCCTTGACAGAATGAGAGGAACATTTAACGTCACTCATTAATCAGATATTTTCAGATTCACACCATGCAGCACTACCAGTCTTTAGGTGGCTCAAAAGGTCAAAATGAGATCAGCTGAGTTATCTGCTTTACCTGGTGCTGGATGAGGCATGGCAGCATCTTTCTGATGCTGGAACTTGTCCACCTTGGTATGTCGTCGAAGACCCTCGAAGGCTTTTACACTTTCCTGTGCAGTTCCCATTCAAGTGGCATGGTTGGGAGTGATGGTCTCACAGGTGCGAGTGTCAATTTGGCACTTTCTAGGTTTATCATAAGTGTACCCCTCTTCTTTCCCCACCAACTCTACATTTGTCAGACTGTCATCCATGCAGGTAACAGGGCTGGTTGGTGCTGGACATTGCTGGCCTTAATGTTCCCACATTTGATGTCAGCATGGATACTTTCATTTGTCCTGTTTTCCAACTAGACTCAGAAGATGGATTGAAGACTACATCATCATCACCCTTCTACAGCCATTTTCCATGCTTATGTAGGTTGGGTTAGCCTTGATTACCTGATGGCAGCTCTCCATGCAGCATAGTCTCTAAGAGACTCTCTCATTTCTCTGAGGTCATTTCTCACAATTTCCCCCACTGTCATTTGTGACCTGCCCTGGCTCTCCTCCCCTAAACATTCAAACTCATGCATCTCTTGACCCAGTTTGTCTCCTCCATTCCCTCCACACGCCTAAACCATCTCAGCCTACCTGTCCAAAACCTCAGCAGTATTCTCAATACCCAGCTGCCCTCTTAATTCTGAACATATTAAAAAACTGAAAATTGGAGGTGACAAGACTTTCATGAATATGTGACAGTATTACAAATCTCATGATATTTAATGAACATTGATGAAATCCTTTGAAAATATATACATTCAATTCTTAACTACATAACAGGCATTTTGCAGAGTTCAGCATTACTCATAAAGCTTCAGCAAGACTTGACATTAACGGACTCTTATATACCACAATTCGGTGTTGCTATTTATATTTTATATTTTTTTTAAAACAAGATATTTATTTCACTGGTCTGTTACTGTAAATACTTGATGATAATTGTTCAGGCCAACACCAACGCTCAGTTCTTGGTTCCTATTAATACTACACCACCGAGGAGCCAACAAGCTCAGTGTGTGTAGTGTGCAGCTGAAACACACTACACTACAGGGGTCCCTGTCATGTGAACGTTCGACTTACAAACGCCCACCAATACGACCGAGGTTAAGCTTTAAATTTATAGTATTTACCCGATGGCTTATTTTTTACTTTCATTTACTGTATTTTGTCATTCTATTTCTTTTTTTTTTCTCTCAAATTAAGTGATTTTAGATGTACTGTATATAAGGACTTAGGCTACGATATAGTGGGATTTTAAACATTGTTTTATAAGTACAGTACAGTATGCACATAGCATGTGTTACGATTTACATACATGTGCGACTTAAAAAAACGTCCCCAGTGTTC